GGGGGCCGCCTCCTCACCGGCCTGGCCTGCGGCGTTGCCTCGCTAGTGGCCCCGGTGAGTGGCCCGTAGCCTCGCGCCCAGGAACCGAGGAGGAGCAGACGAGGGCGTGGTTCTCCGGGGCCTCGGGGTGGCCCTTATCTGCTTTATCTCCCTTACCCTCAGTGGCCCCGTTTGCAGGGGAAGTAAGTTTCCGCAGTGAAGTCCTTTGTCCAGACTCAACTGGTCAGTGGCCAAGCGACTACCCAGGATTGTGCCACGTAACTTGGCCTCCCTTTTGCTCTGTGGATGGTCAACAGGAGCCTCACAGTATGGCTTGGACCCCCTTGTCATTCAGACCACTGAGTACAGTTTAGCAGGAAAATCCTGCCCGGTTTGTCCTGGGGCAAAGGCTGCTGCTGCCACTCCCCTTCGCTGCTCACACACCAGGGCTCTGCGGCTCCCCTGCTTCTGTCAGCTCCTGACCCACCACAGCCAGGCTGGCTTCCGGCTCTGCCGCCTCGGGGACCCCAGCTCCCTCCCCCGTGAGTGAGAAGGACCCGTCACCCCGTGCAGTGGGCGAGGAATCAGAGCCGCACATCAGCCCTGTCGTGGCTTGTGGAGGACTTGGATCTGCTGGCCATGGGCTTGGGTGACCCACCACCCACGCCCCAGCCCGGTCGAGATTGAAAGCAGTGCGTGGGTTTCTCCCTGGTCATCCCGTTGCACCTGCCACTCATTGCACCTGCATTGGCTGGGCAGCTGGGTTGGATTTTATGTTTGGGGTTTTTACTTGGCAAAAACACACCTAAGCCATGGGCATAGGTTTGGAGTAACCCAGAAGTAGGGGCGAGGCCTCTTTGGCCCCTGAGCATGGTCGCTGATAACCAGTGAGGTGAAGAGCTCCTGCTTTAACTCCAAGGGCACCACGCCAGCAGCCAGGTGTCACCTGGAGCTAGTTAGAAGGCAGACTCTCAGGCCCCACCCACACCTGCTGCACCGTCTGAGTGTTCCCAAGGGTAATGATACAATTACATGAAAGTTTGCAAAGCTCTGTGCCCACTCACCCCCTCACCCTACACACAGCAGCCACACAGATACCCTCACCCCTTTAAACCTGCTGCAGATCACTAGGTGGGAGCGGGAGGTATGAGCAAGGCTCTGACCCGGGGCTTGCAGTTAGGGGCCCACCGGGCCTGCAGCTCCCCCTTTACCTGCTCACAGGTCTACATCTCCGAGATTGCCTACCCTGAAGTGCGGGGGCTGCTGGGCTCCTGTGTGCAGTTGATGGTTGTCACGGGCATCCTCCTGGCCTATCTGGCAGGTAAGAGTTTTCACATCTTCTCTTTTGATCTCTTTTAATGGCCACTTGGCCACTTTAAAGCCACGGAAACTGAAGTTCAGGAGAAGTCACAGGAGTTGCCCGAGGTTTCACCACCAGCACCCAAGGTGCTGGGTTCCCAGACCCCCTCCCTGAAGGATGTGCCTAAGTCCCTGGAAGAGCTGACGAAGGTGCTCATCCTCCTGGGCAGAAGCCCATTCCCAGGGTCTGGGGAGAGCTGGCTGCTTAGGTCAGTGCCTCACTGTGCAGTGACAAACGGGATTCAAGGCGCAGCCAGGGTACCCCAACAACCTCCAGCCCAGGCGCTCGGGCCCAAGCATGTCTCCCTCAGAAACATCAGTACTGGATTTGCAGCGTGAAGGAGGCAGGTTCCGGGGGACCCTGAGGGTGGAGCTGGGGCCAGCAGAGAAGTGTGTTTGCACTAGAACGGGGTAGAAAGAGCCGGGGCTCAGATCTGAGAGCCTGATCAGGGGAGGACCTCTCCCACTTACTGGCTGCCTGGCCTTGGCCTGCTCAGCCCCTGGGAGCTGCACTTGCCCTGTCTTTAGGTGGAGAAAACCCCACCTCGCCCAAGGCTGTTGAGGGTTTAATTAAATGACACACAAAAAGTGCCTGGCAGCAGGCCCCCAGTGAGAATTGTGTAGGGATGGCCCGAGAACCATGGGGAGGGCAGGGAGCCTGGGGCTTTCGGGCCTGATGGGTGTGGTGGGGCCTGGCCGTGTGCCCTGTGGGTCTTTAGAATGGTCGGTTTGCAGGTCTGTGGTCTTTCTTTTTACCCACTTACCATCCTGACTGTAATTCAGAGCCCTGGCAGCAGTCTGGCTGCGCGGGGCCCAGCAGTGTGCACACGCATTGACATTTGGAACAGATATGGGTGTCGAATTATCGCCGGTTCCTGTGACTTTCGATCCTCTGGCACTCAGTGAAAGGTGCCCCCCCCCCCCCCCCCCCCGTCCTGCTTCGGCTCCAGGCAAACCAGCCTTGCCTGCCTCTTGGTGGCCTTCCAGAGGGTCTGCGTGAGGACTCTGTGAGGACTGTCCCCCGCCCCAGAATGTTACACAAATGGCCATGTCATACCCATCATTACATAGCAAGGCCTCATGCTTTGTATAATGGCTGCATACCTATTCACGGAGCCGATGTAGCATAATGTCCCCATCATCACTTCTGCATTTCAACAATAACCACAATGTCAGTAACAGACTGCAGAGGTAGGTAGGTCCCCACCCTTTAAGCTGAGCCCCTGGGTTGGTGAGGGGCACGCACTTGCCGAGAAAGCCCAGGCCGGCTCACCTAGGCTCTGACATCTGCCCCCATCCAGGCTGGATCCTGGAGTGGCGCTGGCTGGCCGTGCTGGGCTGTGTGCCCCCCTCCTTCATGCTGTTGCTCATGTGCTGCAT